TATGCAAAGGTTACACGTTACAATTTGCAACCCGACCCCCTCCGTTCGGAGGAATTTTAGAGACGGTCCTGTCATCACCAGACCAAATCTCATCCCTAAATGCAGAAGTCCAAGAGCTTCTGATAAAAGAAGTAATCTCCAGAGTTCCCAAGGGAGAGAAAAAAACAGGGTTTTACTCACGTTACTTCCTGGTTCCCAAACGGACCGGAGGGATGAGACTGATTTTAGATCTGTCAGCTTTCAACAAGGTGATCATGGACAAACCGTTTCACATGTTGACAACCAGACAGCTGTTGGACAACATCCAGAGAAACGACTGGTTTGTTTTCCGTCGACCTGAAAGATGCTTATTTTCAAATACCGATCATCCCAAAACACAGAAAATTCCTGCGTTTCTCCTTTCAAGGGATTAAGTATCAGTACAACAGGCTGCCGTTCGGTTATCCTCTCGCGCCTCGTACATTCTCAAAGTGTGTGGAGACAGCCCTGCATCCGTTACACAGAGCAGGGATGAGAGTTTAGTTTTACCTGGACGACCTGCTGCTGCTGTCACGCTCCAGACAGGAAGCAGTGATGCATGCTCAGGTGTTGACATCACACCTGTTAAATCTGGGCTTCACCATAAATTGGAAGAAAAGTTCAATTTTCCTGGTCCAGACAATTGTTTATCTGGGAGTGGAGCTAACTCAACCACCATGAGGGCTCGTTTATCACAAACGAGAATCGACACTTTAAAAGACCAGCTCCGTCTCGTAAGACCTGGCAGAGTGGTAACAGCTGTTTTCCATCATGAAGCTGTTAAGAATGATGTCATCAGTTCACACAGTTGTCCCACTGGGTTTATTACACATGAGACGCCTCCAGAGGTGGTTTGCACGTCTGCGTGTGGATCCAGAAAAACAAAAGAGACGGATGATCACTGTTCCTCCCTCCGTGAGAGCAAACCTTCGACACTGGGGAAACACCCTGGTTCTGTCGGAAGGAGCCCCCGTCAGCAGACCCACGTCACACGTGCCAGTCTTAATGGACGCGTCGCTGTCAGGCTGGGGGGGGACATGCCTATCTCAAGCAGTAAGGGCGCTGTGGCCCCATCACACATCTGCCCACATAAATGTTTTGGAGTGCCACATGGTGCTGAACGTGATTCAACACTTTGCTCCTGTGCTGCAGAATCAACACGTTTTGATTCACACAGACAACAAGGTTACTGCTGCGTACATAAACCGGCAGGGAGGTGTGCGCTCAGCCCAGGTGTTACACATTGCGCGAAAGCTACTGTGTTGAGCTCACCAAAATCTGCTCTCCATCAGAGCAGTTTACATACCCGGTGTTCTGAACAAAGGGGCAGATGTGATGTCCAGGGGCGGTCCACGTCACGGGGACTGGACTCTCTATCCAGACCTCATGACTGTAGTGAACTTAACCTGATGTCAAAACTAAGCCTAAGGTCAAAACCCTTGACCTTAAGAACCTTGTGGGACAGAAACTGTCATTTCATTGATTTGAATCCAGAAATACAGGTTCACCCATCCTGAGACTTTCTTTCTTGAAAATTCAAGTGAAAGAACACTCTCTTTTTTATTATCATTACTATTTTACAAATGTTGATAATCAAAGTGTCTTAGTTCAAACCATTTTAGATGTTGCAGTGAACTAATCAATTTTATTAACTGTGAAACAGTGTAATGATTTTTAATCCTCATGCAAAGTTAGAATTCATGTTAAGGCCTGTTACAGAGTAATCATGTATTTTCTGATTTCTGTCTTTGAATGAGCAAGTGTAAGTTTTGTCCAAGGTCGGAGTCGAAGCAGACATGTGTCTTGTTTTAAAATCCTCTCAGACGTAAACAGAGGAGTTGGCACCTGTTTCTCCAAACTCGCCAAAATATTTCTCTCGCCTGTCTGAGAACAGTTTTAATCTGTTCCATAACAATTCTTGCTGTTTTCTGACTTCTAGTAACCTCTTACATCACAAAACACACCCCTGTCTGGTTGATAATGACCAATCAGGGACGCTCAAATATACCGGAAATAGAGCTCTTTAAAATGCCGGTACTTCCTAGTTCTCTCAGTTCGGTGAGCGCGGAGAAGTTCTGAGATGTTCGTAGTTCTGTGAAGTCGTTTGGGAGAACAGAAGTCCAGCCATGATAAGGCTCTTCCGAGTTTGGATTATAACATCCTCCACCTCTGAGTGGAACTTCTGAAGGACTCCACTCATGTGAAGTCCACTGGCTGAGGTGAGCTTGTGTCGGACGGAATCTCGTCACTACTTCGGACGAGTCACAGCCATCCTATGGAGACGCTGGACAGGTAGCGTTAACTGGACCTCCATATCTGCTGATTTATCTTCAGAAAGGTAATGAGTCAAGTTTCCTACCAAGCGTACCGAGGAAAAGCTGGGTTCGAATGGAGAGTGTCGGTTCTGGTCAACACTCCCCCTCACACACCATCTTTTACTCCCTTTAAACTTCATTTCCATCTTTAAATCCTTCTATCAAGTAGAAATCCTTCCAGATAATTTAGAAATGTC